CCCATCCCTGGGGCAAGATGTACGCAGCAGCGGAGCTTCTTGGTCTGTGAGATTCCCCCCTCTCGCAGGCTTGGCCCTCTACGTTATCGAGGGCCTACCTCGATGACAGATTTTGGAATCCCGAAAGGTGTCATGCCGCAAAGAGGGGACTGAGGGTTTTTTAAAATTTGTCTTTGCGTAAATTTTTAAGGGGTTTGGGGAAGGGGAGGGAGGGTTATAGGTCAGGCTTGGCACAGGGGCACGAACTGGGAGGTGTGGAGCCGGGTGTGGAGGGGCTTAGTGTAAGTATGGAAGAGGGCGATTCCATCAGGACCATGGTTGGGAGGGGCAGATACGGCGGGAGCAGGGGACCATATCGTGTTGGGGGGCACGCACCCGCTGTCTTCAAGCGGTGGCATGCCTCGGCCCCCAAGGCTTGTCTCGTTTCCCGGGTTGTCCAGAGCTTCAGAGCCCAGGCCTTAGGCTGATGCTGTGGAACGCCAGGTCCCCCTCATCTGCGAGTTAATTCAGGAGGGGGGAGCGGACCTGGCGGGTATTACAGAGACCTGGCTGGGCCAAGAGGGGGGGTCCCCCTCGTAGAAATGTGCCCACCAGGTTTTCGAGCATTTCATCAGCCGAGGGCCCAGGGCAGGGGTGAAGGGGTGGCGGTTGTCATTAAAGTCTTGATCCGAGGGAGACCACTGTACCACAGATAGCTGGATGTGAGTCTCTCCTGGTGAAGTGGGGCCATGGGATGCAGATGGGCCTGCGGATCACTTACCTGGCTCCCTGCCACGTGACAGCGGCCCTGCCCAAGCTTCTCAACGTTATTGCCGGAGTGGCGGTTGATACCCCCAGACTGGTGGTCATGGGGGATTTCAACCTGCCGTCATCTGAGGTGGCCCGGGAGTTCATGGCTTCCATGACAGCCTTGGACCTGACACAACTAATTCATGGCCGTACTCACATGGGAGGACACATTCTGGACTTAGTTTTTGTCTCTGATCAGTGGTTGAATGGCCAGGTTATAGGGGATATAGCTATTGAGCCCCTGTCATGGTCTGACCATTCTCTCCTGAGGCTGGACTTTCTGACCACTGCACCCCACTGCAGGGAGGTGGAACCGATTAGATGGTTCCGCCCCAGGCACCTGATGGATCTGGAGAGATTCCAGAGGGAGCTTGGGCCATTTCCTGAGGCTTTGGCTCACGACTCGACTGAAGATCTGGTGGCCGCCTGGGATAGGACGGCCGCCGGAGCTTTGGATCGTGTCGTGCCTTTGTGGCCTCTGACCCGGCGTCGCACCTGCCCAGCTCCTTGGTTCACCGAGGAGCTGAGGGGGATGAAACACCAGAAAAGATGCCTAGAGAGTGGTTGGAGGGCCAGTCGCTCCGAATCCGATCAAACACTAATTAGGTCTCATATTAAGACCTATTTAGTGGCAATAAAAGCGGCAAAGTGTGATTACTTTTCCACTCTTATTGCATCGGCAGATAACCGCCCAGCCGCCTTGTTTAGAGTGACCCGCTCCCTCCTACATCAGGGAGTGCGGGAGGACCCCTTGCAAGGGCAGGCTGAGGATTTTGCACAGTATCTGCACGATAAAATCACTCAGATTCAGGAAGGCTTGGACTCTGACTGGGTAGATTCTGGCGGGGTGGCTGAGGTGGGTCTTGAGAACATTACCTGGGACGAGTTTGATCCTGTGACTCCTGAGGACGTGGACAGGATTCTGGGGAGGTTAAACGCAACCACATGTTTACTGGACCCGTGTCCCTCCTGGCTGGTACTGGCTACCCGGGAGGTTACATGAGGCTGGCTCCAGAGGATTATAAGTGCTTCTTTGGGGGAGGGTTTCCTGCCGCCTGCTTTGAAAGAGGCGGTGGTGAGGCCCCTCCTTAAGAAGTCTTCTCTGGATCCGGCTGTTATGGCTAACTACCGTCCTGTCTCCAACCTTTGCTTTATTGCGAAGGTTGTTGTGAGTGTGGGTGCGCAACAGCTCCCGCAGTACCTTGATGAAACCATCTATCTAGACCCATGCCAGTCCGGCTTCAGGCCTGGGTACAGCACGGAAACGGCATTGGTCGCGTTGGTTGATGATCTCTGGAGGGCTTGGGACAGGGGTTGCTCCTCTGTTCTGGTCCTATTAGATCTCTCAGCAGCTTTTGATACCATCGACCATGGTATCATGCTGCACCGGCTGGAGGGATTGGGGGTGGGAGGCACCGTGTTGTGGTGGTTCTCCTATCTCTCCGACCGGTCGCAGTCTGTGTTGGCAGGGGGGCAGAGGTCGACCTCGAGGCGCCTTGTTTGTGGGGTGCCACAAGAGTCGGTCCTCTCGCCACTCCTTTCAACATTTATGTGAAGACGCTGGGTGAGATCATCCGTGGATTTGGGGTGCGATGCCATCTGTACGCTGATGACACTCAGCTGTACATCTCCACCCCAACGATGCCCTTGAAGTGATGTCCCAGTGTCTGGAGGCCATGCGGGTCTGGATGGGGAGGAACAGGCTTCGACTCAACCCTTCCAAGACCGAGTGGTTGTGGATGCCGGCATCCCGATATAGCCAGCTGGCGCCATCGCTGGCTATTGGGGGCAAGTCATTGACCCCCACAGAGGGGGCTTGCAACTTGGGCATCCTCCTGGACACACAGCTGTCTTTAGAAGAGCATATGACGGCCATGGCCAGGGGGGCTTTTTATCAGGTTCGCCTGATATGCCAGTTGCGCCCCTTTCTGAGTCGGGATTCCTTATGCACAGTCACTCATGCTCTCGTCACTTCTCGCCTGGACTACGCTAACGCTCTCTACATGGGGCTCCCCTTGAAGAGCACCCGGAGGCTCCAACTGGTCCAGAATGCGGCCGCGTGGGTGATCACAGGAGCAACATGGCACTCCCATATAACACCTCTCCTGCTCGAGCTGCACTGGCTCCCGGTGGTCTTCTGGGTGCGCTTCAAGGTGTTGGTTCTCACCTTTAAAGTGCTCTATGGCTTAGGGCCAGGGTATTTACAAGACCGCCTGCTGCTACCGATGACCTCCCACCAGCCAATACGCTCTCACAGAGAGGGCCTCCTCAGGGTGCCGTCGGTCAAGCAATGTCGGTTGGCGGCCCCCAGAAATATACATATTTCCAAAGACATTTATTAAGAAACGCTCTTTTACAAGTCTGGGAAAAAGTTAAGAAGGATCATTATACAAAAGTCCCAATCTGGCTATCAACTATGGAAGCAATATTACACCCAAACACACAGACTTGAGCAAAATGATAAGATATGCAGAACTACTTGATGAGAAAGGGGAATTAAAATCAATTTAAGATTGAAACAACAATGATTAAATATGGAATGGTGGCTGTATTTACAAATAAAAACTAGATTCAAAAAGGATCAGGAGCAATATGGCGTATATAGAGAACAATTGGATACAGATAAAATTTTATTAGGATAGGATAGATAGATAGAAAATTTTATTAGGGAGAAAAATGATCACAAAAATCTACAATTTCTTATTAAAATACAAAATAGAAGGCGAAACAGTAAAAGAAACAATGATCTGTTGGGCAAAAAACCTTGGGCACAATATAGAATTAGAAAAATGGGACAAATTGTGGGATAGAAACTATAAATTAACAATGGCAGTAGCCTATAAAGAAAATTTGTATAAAATGTTCCATAGTTCGCACTTGGCACCAGCGAAATTGGCCAAAATGTTCCCAAATCTATCACCTAATCGTTGGAGATGTGGTTACAAATTAGGCACATACTACTATATGTGGTGGATGTGCCCCAAGATAAAAAAATGTTGGCGTAAAATTAAAAATTGACTGGAGGAAATTACCAAATTAAAAATGGAATTTAAACCAGAACTCTATTTATTAGGAATAATTAACCCAAAAATAGACAAATCTTTACAACATCTAATACTTCATATATTAACGGCAGCAAGGATTACTGTCACACAGGGATGGAAACAAAATAATGTACCAGGAGAGGAAACAGTAATTTGAAAAATTCTACAATGTGCAGAAATGGATAAGATGACACTGGAAAATAAGGAGAGGGAAGAGTCGGAATATTATAGAGTGTGGAATAAACTATATGATTGGTTAGAAAAAAGAAATCAACATAACAATTTGGAATGTTAATTAAACCGGGTTAAAACTAGGAAGTGTAAATTGCTGAACAGTGTCAACTGGATAATGATGGTTTTGTAAATAGATACTAATGTAAATATAAGTACATAGATGAAAGATTGAATAAGAATAGAGAATACATATCCATGTTGATACAGTAAGCTGTAAAATAATATATAATGTAATGCTATATTTGTTACGTGTTTTTAATGTATTTATGTTTTTTCTTGTATTTTTCTTTGTTTTTAAAACTTAAAAACTCAATAAAAATTATTTTTTTAAAAAAGAAAGAGACCTAGCATGTTTTCACATGTGTGCCTACATGTGAAACCCACACCGCCTCACTTTGTGGCCATGGCACTGGTCCATTGCTCAACTTACTGCTTTGTTGTGGCCACACGCAAGCAGAAGTGGGCCGGTGCCCATGCGGTGTCCTGCCGGATGGGGCTGCCAGAGGTGGGTGTGGGTGATCTGACTGTGGGGGCCCTGAGGTAAGCCGGTATGGGGTGAGTAGGGCAGCTCCCCCCGCCTCACAGCGGTGGCACTAGTGTGCCACATGGTCTCCTACCCCGCCATGAGCAAGCAGAAGTGGGCCTTCTGTACATGAAAAAAAAAAATACACCCCCAAAAATAAGCTCTAGTGCTTATTTTGGGGCCCAAAAGAAAATAAGACCTGGTCTTATTTTCAGGGAAACATGGGTAGTAGCTTCAGGATTTTATGAGCCCATAGATTTGCAGAACAATTTTATGGGACCAAAAATCGTTATAAAGTATGATTTCCACCTTTTCATAGACATAAAATGTAAACATCATAAATTTTAATTAAGACATTGCATTAATATTATGAATTTCATTTTGTTATTGCTCATTATTTTTCTTTGCAGCTGAAAATGGTGAAGGTTTCCATATAATTTTGAAGTGATGTTGCCATATGTATGTCAAACTGATATTCCAATTGAAAAATGAAGTCATCAAGAATGGCAAATAATATCAAGTGTCTTCAGAGATCTGATTTCACCATATAGAATGTTTCATATTGAAAACGCAAGTTGACCTTCTAATGAGCGGTTTAGTAAATGAACTTATCACTGCCATAGCCAATTTTCCTCATTAGAGGTAGAAATTACCCAATAAGCATGGAAAAAAGCGAAGTGCATAGAAGTGTTTGCCCTTTCTTGAAACAAATAAAATAGGCAAGCTATGGCCAGTACCTTGAAGCATTACTGTTTCCTATTACACTGTATCTGGTTGAATGTAAACTAATATTGGGCATTTATCTTCCTGTGCCAGTTTGGTTATTACTTGCTTGTGCTTTTATGTTGGTTTTATTTTTTGATGTTAGCAGAGCACATAGTAACTTGTGTGGAGATAAGTAATATGATAATAACAATCAGGTTTGGGATCTTGAGCATAAAGCTATCAAAACAACATTCTCTATATAATATGTGTATAAAGTGTGGATGTAAGAAGTGTAAATGTCAGGGCTTGTTAAAGTCCTAACCACATGAAAATTAAGCATGCATCAAAGCATATTATCAATAGTACCTAACTGAGAAATTTATAAAATAAGATCTCTGAGGTACAGCATTTTGCTTTTCAACAAATTCCTTGAGAAAATTTGCCTATGCATCATGTTTTTAGTTTCTTGAATGATACACTCCTGCAGCTACGCTTTTTTAAAAAAAAATCTGTAAAATAATAGTGATTTGAAATTTCTTAATAGAGAAAAGGAAATGTAATTGTCACAAAAGTTAAATATTTGAAATTAAGCAAGGTTCCATAAACCAAACAATACTTTTAACAAAATATAGGTGCACTCCTGCATTTTCCCATGTTCACTCCCACGTGACAACTGTCCCTTTCTCTTTTTTCCTCTGGCTGTACTGGAAAGACCAGTCTTAGTGCCTATTCCATACAACCAAATACTTAACTAGCAGTTGCACATCTTAATGAACTGTACAAATGTTTTCAAATATTACTGAAGATCATAGCATTCTAGAAAAATAATATTTGACTCTTCTGGATTGTGTATTAATATATGTATTTGTTAGAAATTAAGACACAAAAGGTAGATTACTTCAATACTTGCTTTTTTAATCAAATCTTGAATGCTGTAGTGAAAGGGTGAAAAGCACCGCATGTCAAGTAATGTTTTTTATTTCAATTCCATTTTTACTTATGCCTAAGTGAAGTGCTTGAACTATATAATTATTCTAAGAAAGTCAGTTAATTACTTGTATTTGGATGAATGTTCATTCCCTTATTTTTTCATGACCTACACTATTTTGCACTGATACAGAGGGAGCATAGTTTGTGAGCATAAATTGTTTTTGAGTTGTTCTTGCCTATAAATTATTTTTTATTGTACTTGAGTGTCTTCAGTTCACTTGATGTGCCATGTCAACACATTTTTCAAATTTGTGAAGAATCTTCAAAAAATGTAAAAGTTGTACAATAGTTTTGTTCATTTGCATTTAATTAATGGCACCAGCAAATTGCTTTTTGTTTTTGGATATGATATATACATTTCAATTTCAGTAAAAACATTTTCCAATAATGTTGTAAATATTTTTCTTTCACTGTTTGCAGTCCATATTGAAAACATAGGTGCTGCTGAGATATATAATTTGGAGAAATGTGTCATCCCTTTCAGCTGGAACTAGAATGTGCACTGGCTTATAAAAGAACTGTGCTCAGTTGAATTGGATGTGCTGAATAACTTTTTTAAAAAAAAATACTGCTAAAGATTTGCCACAATAAGTTTTAAATGATTAAATTTAGATCTAACTATGAATGCCTTCATTCACTAGTAACCAGTACCAAATTTAAATTAAATATCTGTTTAATAATTTCAGTTTCATGAATCGGGCCATTTCCGGCCTCTGGAGGGTTTCCGGGGATGGGGGGGAAAGGTTGTTTTTCCCCTCCCCAGGCTCCTAGAAAGGCTCTGGAGTGAAAAATGGGCCTTCCGGTCCTACTGGAAGTCAGCAAATGGGCCGTTTCTGGCCTCCAGGGGGTGAGGAAGGCCGTTTTCGCCCTCCCTAGGCTCCTAGAAAGGCTCTGGAGCCTGGGGAGAGCGAAAACCAGGCCTTCGGGTCCCACCAGAAGTTGCAAACGGGCTGTTTCCGGCCTCCGGAGGGCATCTGGGGGTGTGGGGAAGGCCATTTTCGCCCTCTCCAGGCTCCTAGAAAGGCTCTGGTGCCTGGGGAAGGTGAAAAACGGGCCTACTGGACCCACCGTGCCATCACGCACCAAAAGCAGGGGGAGCATGGGGGGTCACGCATACATGCATGGGGGGGGGTGGGCCACATTGAATTATGAGTGTGGGTATACACACACGCAAACCCCCCACACTACCCCTGCTTTTGGCACGCGATGGCAAAAAGGTTCGCCATCACTGCTCTATACAAATACAAAAACAGTGTTTTAATAAGATTGTTATTTTAAAATATTTTTATTTGTGTTTAAATCCTACAGATATTAGAATGCATTGCAAATCTATTTTACCTTTTACCTGAATATAATACTTTCTTCAAATTCGGTGCTGAAGAAATTTGAGATGGTATATTCAATAACTTTCATTCTCTATCATGCTTTTTTCTTTATTTTAAAAAAAGTTGCTTAAAAGTGGTTTATTTTTCCCAAATAAAACTTAACAAAAGTTTATTCCTTTGTACAAGAAAAATTTAAGGATATGGCAGAAAATTGGATTAGATTGATTACGTTGCTTAAACTGTGGCTTACTGGTATGTGAGAAACTTGTATTTATTGCTCTTCCTTCACAACTCCAAGGTGATTAGAAGTTTTTAACTGTAATTAATTGAAAGCAAAACCCAGTAAAGAAACCCTGGTTATACTTTGTAAAACAATCGTTAAATTGGTTTTAATTATTGAATTAGCCACAGTTTAAAATGATCAGTGATTGAAAATGGAAGCAAATATGTGATTTCTTTCCAGTTACAAGGGATGAATGAAAATAATGCCTCCATTGTTGTAAATTGCCGGATCAATTTACTGTACAAGTGCACAGTAAGCAGTGAGATGTTCTTTAGCATCTGCTCTTTCATTTCAGTGAGCAGGAAGCTGCTATGGAGAAAGTATACGTTGTTTTTTGTGAAATGGAAGCTTACTTGATTTAAGCATATTATAATTGAATTTTAATTGCCAAAGAAATCTTTCCCCAATTGAAACACTACTGTTTTTTTGTGGGGATGATGGTGTTAATTTAAATATTCTCATTGTATGTTACAATGAGAAGTGTTGAATCAAAGACAATTGACAGATCACTCAGAGAAGCTATCAAGTTTGACATTTCACAAGAAAACACAAATAGCATTATTGATAGTCTTAATACTGGAAGGCTTGTCAAGATGATTTCCTCACATGCTGAAAGCAGAACTAAGAAGTTCAAGACTTGAAATTTGCCAGGAATTGTTGAGGGACTACAAGAATGAAACAGAAGAATTTATTCACAATAAATTCTTGTGACAGCCATTGAAATGCAAGTTTGTCATTATAAATAAAAATGTCAGTCCATGGATAATCTAATAAAGAAGAAGAAAAAATAAATAAAAATCAGAATCCAGACAAGCAAGAAAACTCATGGCTATTGTTTTCTTTGCTGCACAGATAGCGTTACTCACATAGATTTATTTGAACTTGGCACCACTTGATCAGATTGTAATACTCTGAATTTTAGACTTTGTACCTCTGAAGAAGCCTCTAAAGAAGCAAGTGGTGAAATCGGATCTCGCCATCTTAGCCATCATGTAGTCAAGAGTTGGTGCCAAATGACTTCCACATTTTCCCAAAATTGAAGGAATATCTTATTTATTTATTTATTTATTATTTATTTTATTATATTTCTATACCGCCCTTCTCCTGTGGGACTCAGGGCGGTGTACAGCCAGGATAAAACATAGCATATAAAATTTTAAAACATTTTAAAAAACAATTAAATAATATTGGCCCGAATTTAAAGTAACCCAATTAAAACCGAAATTCGATTAAAAACTAAGAGGATGGGATCAAGCCAGCCCAGCTAGATGGAACAAGTGTGTCTTCAGGGCCCGACGAAAAGTCCGGAGGACTGATATCGTGCGTATCTCAGGAGGCAGGTCATTCCAGAGGGCAGGCGCTGCCACAGAGAAGGCTCTCCCCCTGGGAGTTGCCAGCCGGCACTGCCTGGCCGACGGCACCCCGAGGAGGCCCTCTCTGTGTGAACGAACCGGTCGGTGGGAGGCTATCGGCGGCAGAAGGCGGTCTTGCAAATACCCCAGCCCTAAGCCATGGAGCGCTTTAAAGGTGGTCACTAACACCTTGAAGCGCACCCGGAAGACCACAGGAAGCCAGTGCAGCTCGCGCAGGAGAGGTGTTATATGTGAGTGCCCCGTCGCTCCCATAATCCCCCGCGCGGCCGCGTTCTGTACCAACTGCAGCCTCCGGGTGCACCCCAAGGGGAGCCCCATGTAGAGAGCATTGCAGTAGTCCAGGCGGGAAGTGACGAGTGCTTGAGTGACCGTGCATAGGGAGTCCCGATCCAGAAAGGGACGCAACTGGCGTATCAGGCGTACCTGATAAAAAGCCCCCCTGGCCATGGCCGTCATATGCTCTTCTAAAGACAGCCGTGCGTCCAGGAGGACGCCTAAATTGCGAGCCCTCTCCATGGGGGGCAGTGATTCGCCCCCAATAGCCAGCAATGGCACCAGCTGGCTATATCGGGACGCCGGAAGCCACAGCCACTCGGTCTTGGAAGGGTTGAGTCGGAGCCTGTTTCTCCCCATCCAGGCCCGCACGGCCTCCAGGCACTGGGACATCACTTCAAGGGCATCGTTGGGGTGGCCTGGGGTGGAGATGTACAGCTGAGTGTCGTCAGCGTACTGATGGAACTCCACCCCAAAGCCATGGATGATCTCGCCCAGTGGCTTTACATAAATGTTGAACAGAAGGGGCGAGAGGACTGACCCTTGTGGCACACCACAAACAAGGCGCCTCGGGGTCGACCGCTGCCCCCCTGTCAACACGGATTGCGACCGGTCAGAAAGGTAGGAGGAGAACCACCGCAGAACGGTGCCCCCCACCCCCAGCCCCTTCAACCGGTGCAACATGATACCATGGTCGATTGTATCAAAAGCCGCTGAGAGGTCTAACAGGACCAGGATAGAGGAACAACCCCTATCCCGAGCCCTCCAGAGATCATCCACCAATGCGACCAATGCCGTTTCCGTGCTGTACCCAGGCCGGAAACTGGACTGGAGTGGGTCCAGATAGACAGCTTCATCCAGGTACCGGGAAAGTTGCCGCGCTACCACACTCTCAACAACCTTCACAACGAAGCGAAGGTTGGAGACTGGACGATAGTTAGCCAAAATAGCCAGATCCAGGGAGGGCTTCTTGAGGAGGGCCCTCACCACCGCTTCTTTCAAAGCGGTCGGCAGAACCCCCTCACTCAGAGAAGCGTTAACAATCCCCTGGAGCCAGCCTCATGTAACTTTCCAGGAAGCCAGTACCAACCAGGAGGGACACAGGTCCAATAAACATGTGGTCGCATTCAGCCATCCCAGGATCCTGTCCACGTCCTCAGGAGCAACAGGATCAAACTCCTCCCAGATAACACTCTCAAGACCTGCCTCAGGCCTCCCGTCCGGACTTACCCAGTCAGAGGCCAGGCCTTCCCGAATCTGAGCGATCTTGTCATACAGATACTGCACAAAGTCCTCAGCTCGACCCTGCAAGGGATCATCCCGCACTTCCAGATGGAGGAGGGAGCAGGTCACCCTAAACAGGGCGGCTGGGCAATTATCTGATGACGCGATAAGAGCGGCAAAATAGCTAGATTTCGCCGCTTTTATCGCCACTAGGTAGGTTTTAATATGAGACCTCACCAGTGTTCGGTCGGATTCGGAGTGGCTGGTCCTCCAACTACTCTCCAGGCGTCTTTTCCGGCGCTTCATCTCCCTCAGCTCCTCAGAGAACCAAGGAGCTAGGTGAATTCGGTGCCGGGGCAGAGGCCTCAAAGGCACGACACAGTCCAAATCCCCGGCGGCCGCACTCTCCCAGGCGGCCACCAGGTCTTCAGCCGAGTCATGAGCCAGAGTCTCAGGAAATGGGCCAAGCTCCGTCTGGAACCTATCAGGATCCATAAGGCGCCTGGGGCGGAACCACCTGGTCGGTCCCACCTCCCTGCAGCGAGGTGCAGCGGTTAGAAAGTCCAGTCGAAGGAGCGAGTGGTCAGACCATGACAAGGGTTCGATGACTATATCCCCTATATCAAGGCCACTCAACCACTGACCAGAGACAAAAATCAAGTCCAGAGTGTGTCCACCTATGTGAGTAGGGTCATGAATTAACTGAGTAAGGTCCATGGCCATCATGGAAGCCATGAACTCTCGAGCCACCTCAGACGTTTCACCGATAGATGGCAGGTTGAAATCCCCCATGACTAAAAGTCTGGGGGTACCAACCGCCACCTCGACTATGACGTTGAGCAGCTCGGGCAGGGCCGTTGCCACGTGGCAGGGAGCCAGGTACGCGATCAACAAGCCCATCTGTACTCCA